GTGTCGTTTCTACCAAAAAAATCAAATTAAAGCTCTACAACATCTCTCTTAATTATTTTAAACTCGTTATCTTTCTCTTTCTGCGATTTTAATAATCAAATTTATGAAAAATTCAACAAAGAGAGACGTGAAACACATAAGATTGAACTACATTATTTTATAAGAGCTAATATTGAACATATCATTAATTAAATTAACATAATTTTGTATAATTAAAAATTTTAATTATAATACGGAACCGAATGGAATCGAATTGGACCGAATCGAATGGAACCGAATCCTAACGGTTCCATAATTAAATTTGGACCCGACGGTTCCACTTACTAAATACCCGAAAATTTCGGGTCGGTTCGATTTTCGTTAGAACCGAATCGAACCGAACCATGTCCAGCCCTACCTACAAGAGCTAAAATTCTTTCCTTTGTGTGTGTGTGTGTGTGTGTTCAAACTCATTTTTAACTTCTCATTACATGAAATTACAACTTTTATAACCAAACATTTTGCCAAATTTTATTAAAATCTACTAAAAATATAAGTTTTGTCAAAACTAAATAGGGGCATAGTATCACTGAATTTCTAATGTTGATAATTTCTCAGGATGATAACAATTAGTCTCTATTTTTATTTAGTTTAAATTGAAATTTCAAGTCAAAATCAATAGTTAATTTTAATCATATATTTCATGAGATTCACAACTTTTTAACTATACATTTCATCAACTTTTAATAAAATATATTAAAAATATGATTTTAATCTATACCGAACATTGGCATAGTGTTCAGTTAGTTTCCAACACGCATTTTTCATCAGTTTTCCTGCTGAATTAGTTTTTTAAATTGCATAGAAGAATTCAGACCCGACTGAGCCATTCAATCTTATATATTGCCCTTGTTTGATCTCCATTCTTTAGAAAAAATAAATTATTCCGCAGTGTTTTGATATCATTTCAAGCACACATTCTTAAATAAAATAATATTACACGTAAATTCAAAACATTTTCTTATTTTTTAACCACACATTTTCTATCAATACACTATTCAAAAATTTATTTTTACCCTCAAAATGGGGCTCAAACAAGGGCATTAATTGGCAAGCCTATGTCTTTATCTTTTGTAGCACCAGCTTTTAAAAAGGCACCAATTTTTTAATCACCCAACCATTTTTTTAGCCTTTCTCTTTGACCTTTTTATATTTCCAAGAGAACTTTCAGCCATTCTTTGTAGCAGTTGTTGGATTTTGATACCGAATAAATTCTCGATTATAATGTTAACGTGGGAATATATATCATTTGGCATGTACACAAACTTCATACTTATTATGACCAACTTGAGCTTTTGGAATCTAGTTTTGATCCATAAGTTTCTTGATCTTAATATTACTAACATGATCCAATCTTTTATGCCACGAACAACTAACTTCAACATTAAGAACCATGGAAGAATCACGATAAAGATCTTCAATAATATTCAATTTAAACAATCCATCACTAATATAACACTTTCCAACAAAAAACAATGCTTTTTTATTATAACAATTTTATTTTGACTCCATTACAAGTTTAAAACCTTGTTAAACTAAATATGATCCAATAGCTAAATTTCTTCTAACTTCGAAGACAATGGCGAACTTTATTTAAAATTAAACTCTTTCCAGAAGTCATCTTAAGCTCGACATTTCCAGTTCCCAATACAAAAGTGATGGAGTTATTTTCCAAATTATACTTCCTTTGCTTGAAATCTGATCAAATTTAAACGAGCTCTTATCAGAACAAGCATAAACATTTGCTCTGGAATCTAAACACCATTTATTATTAGTATAAGCACAATTGACTAAAGAGGTTGATGATTTACACCTAATGGAAGTTCTACCAATCCTCAACATATTTACTCAATCCTTTTGAAATTTGTCTTTAAACTTGTTCTTAGGGGCGAATCCAGGACTTCAATTTAGGTAGAGCGGCCGTTGATCGTTGACCGTTGACTATCGATAGTCAATGGTCGTATAGCGATATCGTTTATTAATATTTAATAAAATAATATTAAAAATTCTTCGATTTATATATAAATACACTAAAACGTAAAAATCGTGTATTTATATCATATTATATTTCAATACAATTCGAAATAATATAAATTACATAATATATAAAACTTCTTTTTGCTATCAATACTTAACAAATCGCTTACTTGACTAAAAGTAGTTGAGAGATTAGATACACAACTACAAGAATTATATTGAGATTCAATTGAAAAAATCATTCCATAATCAGTATGATAATTGAACGTTAATCATAGATTAAATGTAATTAAGATTAATTTTAAAATATAATTAAAGTTTCAATTTCCAATTCTCAACACCAATTCATTACAAATTATAAATTCCCCAATTTCTCATTTTCAATTTTCATAAATCACATATTCACATTTCACGATACTCAAATTAATTTTTAATATCACAATTCATGATAGACAAATTCTCAAATAACATATAAATTAAAACTCAATACTCATAAGTCATATCTTATAAATTATTAAAACATAAAATATTTGAAACGACAAAAATCAACCCAAAAAAAAAATAAAAAAAAATAGTCATTGACTTGCCTAGAGTCTTATCATATATTATTTTGTTAAATTTAGATTCAAAATTCAACCATTGCCATAAAAGTTAAACCTCCAATCATCCAAATTAGAAGTTATAGCTTCGAATCCTTTCCTTAGGGAATTAATTTTGGTAAATATTGTAGAAATAAAAATTTTGCACAATGAAATGGACGGGAAGGAATCGAACCCAAGACTTGTAATATAAAAATGCAATCTCTAACCAACTAAGCAGAAGAGGAGTTTGAAAATAATATGAACTACCAATTATATAACCTAAAATTTTTATCTATTATCAACAATATATATATATATATGTATGTATGTATCTCCGGCAAATCCAGCTAGGGCGGCCGCCCTAGCTGGCCATCCCTTAAATCCGCCACTGCTTGTACTCCTATATCCTTTTGTAGTAACAATCTCGAGCGAGATGGTTAGTTCTACCACACTCGCCCTTGCTCCTTTTCTTTGCCTTTGTTATCTTTAGTGTAATTATTCTTAGATTGAAAAATTTTTTATAATGGTAAAAGTTTTTCTTAAACTTATTAGTTCTAGACTTAAATTGCTTTGAGGAGCTAATATCAGTTTTAGAATTTTCTACCAAGTTTGCTTTAGCATAAATTTCAAGTGGTTTGTTCACTCGATGCTTATTTCTTTTCCTTTCTGGTGTGTCATCATATGTATATAGCTATTGTTTTCATGAAAGAAGCTGGTGACTGGTTGACCAGTGGCGGATATAAGGGTTGGCCAGCTAAGGCGGCCGCCCTAACTGGATTTGCCGGAGATTTTTTTTTTTTTTTTTTTTATAAAAGATAAAAAATTTTGGTTTTATAAATTTTAGTTTAATTTTTTTTTAAAATCCCCTTTTACTTAGTTGGTTAAAAATTGCATTTTTAT